AGTGATCTAGGGACTTGTGTCACTTTAAGTTCTGTTAGGAGACAAAAATTTTCCTGTACAAAATATTATCCCTTTGATTTTGTTTCTAAGGCATGTAGAATGACTTTTAAGTCACCATTTGCTTCAGGACACAGCTTATTTGGCCCCATTTTCATTGAGAACAAGACATCAACATAATTAATCTATGAGAGAAAAAGAAATGAGATTGTTCAACCAGAAGATATTTGTATCTCTGTGCGTACATATCCATTGTTTTCCAATTCTTCCAGTGTGATTTTGCCTAGTTTCAGAGAAAACTTAGTGCCTAGCACAGGATGACAAGGATATCTGAGTAAAGGCCAGCTAGTTGGCTGGCAGCTGGCTGCATACATGCATGAATGTAGCATCAATTTACAACCAGCTACAAATTGGACAAAAAGAGCTTCTACTGAGCTGATATATTGCAACTTTGTTTTATGGTGTGTGTGTGTGTGTGTGTGTGTGTGTGTGTGTGTGTGTGTGTGTGTGTGTCTGGAAGAAGTCCATTAGCTTTGCTCTCATCCCATCTTTACCCACTGAACTACACTTCACAATTGTAATGCCACTTAAATGTCCTTCCAGACCCTTTTCAATTCCCAGCCACATTAGCCTCTCTTGCTTTGTTTCCTACCTGTTCTCTTTGCTATTACTCTGCTTATCTCATAATTTATTTGCTCATTTATCTCCCCCACTGACCTATTCAGGGAAGAGTTGAACTCATGAAATGCACTTAGTTAAAACGTGTTAAATGCACACGTGCATCATAAATTGTGAAACATGCAATCAAGTTCTCCTGTTATATCCAGGAACATTCTCAGGACAGTGTTCGCAAAGGACCAGATTTCTATCAAATTTCAGGTAATGGAAAAATACTATAGAGCAATGTCTGCTAAAAAATGTGTTAAATCAGATCTAACAAATCACAAGGGACACCTTAAACCTTCCAAATTGTACTCATTTTAATTTATTAATAGGAAGCTAATTCTGTTTTAAGGGAAGCAGCATAAAGAAATATATTTCTGTAACATTTATTTATTCATTCAATAAGCATTGAGTGCCTACTATGTGGCAAGTGCTATCTAGAATCAAGATATAAATGAGACAGTAAACAAGAAAAGAAACATAATTTCCAAATTAAGGCCCACAGCTGAACCATTCTTGTACCTATACATATAAATTGGATTTTGTTGAAAATGGAATTGTTGGCAATGGAAAAAAAAAAGGATTCCTGAGGTGTTATTTATAAGAAATGGGTTGCTGGAATCTGAAACAAGGGTGACTCTGGAGGTCACATCATGGAGAGTAAAAAGATAGAGGCGATGGTTGCCCACGGAAAACCTGTCTTTTGCCATTTCACCATCCCTTTAACACCATGTTTGGGAAAAAGCCTGCATGTTGGGTTCAGAGAATCAACTCTTTCCAGAAAGACACTTATAACTGGAAGCTTTCTAGCAAAGAAAAAGTGAAGACAGGCCCTATACTTCCTTTTCTAGTCACTGCTTGCAAAGAGAATCCCCAGACTTTGAAAAAATAGTACTTTCAAATAGTTGGCTCTAGCTTGTTAATAGTTTGCAAACAAGCACTAAAATTTACTGGCCCATAAAAGTGTTTCAAGATTTTCAGGTACAAAGGTACTTAAAAAAATGAGTCCTCTCTCCTGCCTCTCTTTATGACCATATGTTTATTGCATAAAAACCTATGGGAAAGGTATGTGTTAATAAGAACAGCACTGGCCACAAAGATCAGGCCTTCAGTGCTATCTACTGGTTTCTCTAAGATTCTGGGCCTTCATTCTCCAATCAGATCTCATTTCACTCTATAACCTTCTGAATTGATTAGCAGCTTTATTTGTAAAAGGAAAGAACTCAAATATTTTTAACAGGCCAAAAAAAATGAGCACAAATAATAAATTGACCTTCGTTGTGGTCCTTGTTCCTATGAACCCTGGGTTCACAGAGCACTTTAAGTAGCAATCAAACTTTCTTCTTAACTTTTGCAGATGAAAAATAAATTTGTGACACCTTACTAGGTACAGAAAACTCAGTACAGTGGGTCCTTGAATAATGTTTCTTGCATCATGGTTTCATAAGTTGATGAGATGCCATGTGAACTTAACTCTTGTTTACATCAACTGGCCTATCGTAAGACTGGTTTCATTATTCCTCGTTTCACTTAACATCACAGAATCTATGGGCAACACTAAGTGAGGACCTACCGTTTGCCCCTATGGTTAAAAATGAAGCTGTAAGAATCAGGGATGTCTGACAGAATGCTGTGTGATGATGGGAAATTCCACACCTGTAGCTGCTGAGTACTTAAAATGTGACTAATGCCTGAAGAACTGAATTTTAAATTTTATTTAGTTTTAATTACTTCAGACTTAAATAGCCACAAGTTTCTAGTGGCTATTGTATTGGACACCTTCAGCTTCCGTCACAATGGAATAATGGGGAACAGCCACTGCTGATGGATGGTTTGTCACAAACAGTGTCACCACCTTTGCAATTATGTATTAAAAGTCCAGATCACTGATGGCTTGAGTGACTAAGCCCCACTACTGGACCCTGACTCCTAATGCCACAAAGCTAACTAGCATTCCAATTTGAGATGACTGTGCAGATTGATTTTTTTAAAATTCTTGAATATAGACTTAGAGCACATTCTAAGATTCAGGATCTCATCTGCAGCCATAGGAGATATGGTAGTGATAGTAAAGTCATCAGGACTAGGACTCATGAATTGTAAAAAGAAATAAGTAACATAGATAGGAAAAAAAAACTTACTTATGGACTGGCCCTTTTACAAGCCTCCAAAATGTGAATTCACTGGGGTGTGATTGGTGGGGAAGACACCTACAGGCACCTTGCTCAAATGTAGCTGAAATCCACTTCCAATTAAATTTTACATAAAAATCTTGTAAGTCTAATGAATCACATCATGTATTTTATACAGAAAGTCTTGAGAGACTTGAGATTCCCCACAATAGTAAGGAGTTTCAGAATTTTACAACTGTGGTGTTTCTTGCATTTTCTTCACCTTTTTCTGTAGCATTTTATTTCATCTACATTTTTATCTCCTGTGATTTCTGAATAAGTTTCCTTAATTGACACTTGTTTGCTGCTCATGTGAGAGACCTCAACTTAATCCTCAAAATTTTGTTTATCTCTTTTTCACAACAGTGTGATTACTTGGCACCTGGCTACTCCAAAATCTCAACTTCAGGGCAATCGGTCTCTTATATACACACAAAGGGAAGGCATTTTTAGACTTTACAAGCTGTTCTGAGGTCTGCTTACTCAAGTTTATGAAGCTTGGTTGCAGTGTTCAAATTTGGATGGGCTCTATCTTATATACAGTACAATTTTCAATCTTGTTTGGTATTGTTTTTTCACTTTCTGATGCTATTTTGAGTCTTCAAATCTCCCTATCTCATTAGTCTTAGACTGCTAAATATTATTCTTCCTCTTCCCATATGCCAAAAAATCTTTCTCCATATTTCAATCACACCTTTTTGAAATCTGGACCATAAACCAGTTTAGGGCTAAAAGAAATTATGGTGGAAATGTGATTTTTTTCTACTTTCTCAGTAAGTGTCCTTATGGTTTCTTTAGAGTATAAGCCTCTTTTAGTTTGTGTATATTTGGAGAATGCCTTGTTTCTATGGAGGTCTTGCTCTCATATCTATACCCACCTGAAGACTCTCCTCTAGATGATTTCCCTAATGCCATTTTTCATCTTCTGTTGTCCTTATTACCATGACGCTAAAGATACATACTTGGACTCTTCTCCCCAAAGTTATAAATTTTGCCCACATCTTTATGTATTATTGTAGTGTGACTCATACATTATGACAGCAACACTTTTTTAAACTAAAAACTCTCCCAAAAGTCTATTCTTCCTAAAAGTAACTGACAAGAATCATCTTTGACAATAACTAGGGTGTATTCATTACTCCAGGCTTCTGGCCCATAGACTTTTCCACCATCTTCCTTGGAATCAGCCATCCATGCCCAAAGATGAACTTATGGCTTCCCTGCACTTTTTTAGTTCATTTATTTATTGAAGGAATTGTGTTCTATCTTATGGTCAGATAATATTTTTCTAGTGAAAACTGCACAGACATTTTATTTAGAATTTCAACTACCGCACCCTACACTACCACCTCTTACCATATTTACTTTTCTCTGCATCATCATCTTCCAGGATACTTAGTGTACTTGTTTGTTTACTATGTTTACCATTTGTCTTCCCTTACTAGAAAGTAAATTCTACAAGGGAAGGTAATTTTGTTTGTTTCATTGGTTGTATATCCCCTGGCCTAGAATAAGTCCTAACTTCTAGTAGGTGATAAATAAAATATGTAAAATTAGCAAATATTCTGCAAAAAGTGCTTCTGCTATTTTCCCAATTCTAAAAATTAATAGTTAAGCAATAGTAGTCACATGAACTCATCTATGAGATATCTGATTGAAGATAAGGTGTGATTTTCCCATTGTGCATAAATAATTCTAGACCACCAATCTTTTGTTATCTAGTACCAAAAATTTCACTAAGTGAATCTTGCCATGTCATGACTCATCTGTGTGAATTGTTTCACTTATTGCTTAATAAAGCAAGCTTAATTTTTTATTATACTGTGATAAAAGGGAAGCCTCATAATTTTTTTAGGCTTTTAATCATAAAAATTTACATGAACTGGTGACCAACTTTTTGAATTGCTCTGATTTGAGGCTCTTCATTCAATGTGGAAGTGGGAATGGGAGTTCAAGAAATCATATATAAGTAGCTTTTTCCTAAGAGGCTTAGAGATTTGACTACATATTATTTATATTTAATGATTAAATACCTGCTGGCAAGCAAACAATTGGATTTATTCCTATTAAAAATATATTAAGGTAGCAGTACTGCCATGGGGCACTCAGAACCAGAAGTCAGTGCATCAATAAGTGAACAAGCCGGTTTCCTCCTTCCCTGCGGCTAACCTTCAGTCGATGACTCCTTAGCTGCAGCCCATAGGCAGGCACTCACAGCCTCATAGGAGGCACTCAGCCGAGTGGTGGGGTCCCTCTTTGGCTTGGGTGGAGGCTGTTTCCGTGGTGATGGGAGGCCACTGCTCTCATCCAGGCTGAACACCGAGTGCAGAGAAGGAGACCGGGTGGACGGGCCAGCCAGGGACTGCACCAGGCTGTCCACAGCCATGGGGACGATGATGGAGCTGCAGTGGAAATGTCTGGGTCCACACTTGTCTTCGGTTCTTGAGGGGAACAAAACACAAACAGCACCCCACCAGAGAGGCCCAGATGCATAATTCAGAGGTTAACAATGAACCTGCTCAACCAAACATCATCAAGGCTTTTTGGCAACAGCCTTCCCCACTGAGACTGAAAGATGCGTGTACAGTGCTCTGGTAACTGGCACATCCAGAGAAAGCTGCCCCATCCTTATGGCCCCTGCTTTATGATAAATGAGCACATTGGAGATTCATCATTATTGCTTAAAAAAAAAATCTTACGTAAATGCAACACTTCTTAAGGACTGCTACATTTTCTATCAGGCATTCACTGAATGAATTTTTCACAATCTGATTATTAAGCAAATCAAAAAACCAGAATTTCAATCTGAATGATAATTTCTGAAGACTACATCTTAATAAAGAGTTACTGATGCATCAAATGCAGGGAGTTCATCACCACTTCCCCTTGCAAAACAGTATGTACTTAAAACTATCAAAGATTTACATTTTTTCTCTCTCTTTTCTCCTTAGCATTTAAACCCCACTGGCAATTATTTAATTATGTGCAGAATTATTATTTTTCTTCTGTTCCTCCATCTGGTTGTCCAATGCCAAGTGAACTGCTGGTATTCAATAAATAAATAGACAAATACTTCTTCACTTAATTTTATATCACGCAAATAAACACATACTCAAATTGAGAAATTGGGGTGGCTGTTTAGTTCCAGCAGAGAAAATAACAAACATTATTCTGGAAGTCATATAAAATTAATAGTTATCTGATTTATAAAAATTCCTTCTGTCTTCACATGTCAATGTAATCATGTACTACTGAGATGCCAATGCATTCATTTCACAAGGAGTCTCCGAGCATTTGTTTTTATAATTATATCTTTGTGTGGCAGAGCACCAACAGGGCTGGGATCTACCGCAAGGCAGAGCCAGACGCCCATGTGGAAAATGAACTAGCTGAAGATGAAAGCATGACACTCAGTGGATAATTTGTTTTCCCTGTAATGTTTAATTACAGTTTTCCATACAAAGGGATTTTTTTCAGTATTTAATCACTGAGATATTTGAAGCTAATTAGTGAAAGACACATCACCATTTCCACTTTAATAAAAATCTATTTGACATAGGCAGTCAAGGCAAAGAGGAGTCATTTTTTCAGTGAGAAACAACTAGGTATTACCAAGTTCCTATGAAAAAAACAAGTATCTCCTTGACAGTGAATTAGGATCTAAGGGATCCATGTCCCTGCCCTCCCAGGGAGAGTTATTGTGAAGTACAGGTGTCCTTATCATTCACAGAGAGGCAAGAGGGATAAAATGGAGAAGGGTCAAGTTGTCCCTACATTTCTATTACAAGTTCAGCCTCCAAAGTAAACTTTAAAATAGAGGCTTTCCCCAAAGTGGTGCTTATTAGCAAAGAAAATGTGACAGTTTACTAAGGAAAATATCTATACAACCATTTATTGATTTCACTACTTTTATGTTTTGAGAGTGGCTTCTCTATTTTTTTGGTAATATTTCCAAAGTTTCTATGAGTTAGCCTTATATACATGGCACTTGTCTAAAGATGCTGACAACACAGCTAAGACAGAAATACTTGATGCCTTAAAATTTTGTGCCTGAGATGCTAAGCGATGTAAGCATTGTAAGTGAAGCAATAATTATTTTATATGACTAAAAACATATAACATTTATTGCATGAAAAGGAAGCAGAGGAAACCTATCCTCTTAGATTGTTATGAGGTTTCAAATAAATGATGCATGCATACATGCTAGTTCCCATAATTACTGTCATATTTGATTAACTTCACATTAAGGGCTATCAAAACTTCTTTGATTCCACTAGGACAATTCCATAGATAATTAAAATTATATACTATGTGCCTTTACCTTTTGGCTCCTTCCTCTTGTTTGCTCCTGGCCTCCAACTTCTCTTTGTTATAAGTAGCATTCATTTCATTCCGTAGCCGATCATTTTCACGGGCAATGTCTGAAGCATTCTGAATGACCAGGGCATCATAGGTCTTCAGCCCCATGTCCTCGGTAATCTGCAGGAAGCTGTTGATGGATGTGACCTCTTGCTGTATGATGCTTCTTTTCTGAAGCAAGTGCTGGCGTGCCAGAAATCCTCTTATAACTTCCACAAAAAGAACACAATCATAGGTCAGGGAGAAGAGCAAAAACAGAAAATCCCAGATGCATACAAACAAAAGTCACAATACATGTGTGTCTGAGCAACTACAAAATAAGATATTTAACTCTGAATAAGAATTTATTAAAATATTCTAATCTCATATTAAAAAGGACATCTAAATTCAGCCATGATAACACTAAAGACACAAATCCTTAAACTGAATGAGATTGTGCAGATAACATTATAATAAGGTTTCCACACTTATTTTTGGTTTGAGAGGATAGGCATTCATTGACTGGACTAAACTCAATGAAAAAAACTAGGTCCAAACCCCAGAAATTTTGGGATGTGGCTCCATTTGGATCATTTTGGGACACACTGATTATCTTTCGTTATATTAGATTATAACAGAAAGGCTGAGGCCCCTGGAATCGGTTACCTTTGATAATATCATGTACATATTGTTAATAGGACTGTGGTTTAACTCCTAGAAAAACTAACACTGCATTTAAGACTCGAGGAAGAGATTGTGTAGAAATATAGGACATCCTTTCTGCTCTCTAGGGAAGCAGGGCTAGAAAATGTGTAAGAATTGGGGGAAACAAGGGAGTAAACACATTTTGAAATTGCTAATATGTCAACACACATGTAAGACTTGAAAATAAAAGCAATAAGCATGATTTAAAGGCACTTTCATGTGTTAGGAACACTATTCCATCACTTAGAGCACCAACTCAATGATAATTAATATACCATTATCTCCATTTTTTAGACAAAGAAAGAGAAGCTTAGTGAGATCTTATAACCATGTGTAAGCCTTATTATAAATTATATGCCCATGGTTTCATTAAGGTTAAGGATTTTTGCCTTTATGGTTATCATTACTGAATTTAGATATCCCTATTTAATATGAGATTAGAATGTTTTAATAACTTCTTATTCTGGGTTAAATGTATCTTCCTCCAAGTAAACATGACCAATGAATAGAAGAGCCAGGATTCAAATCTCTGATTATCAGGCCAAGCTCATTCTCTTAGCTTCCAACCAAATAGATGTGATCTGTAGCTCTGCCAAGAGCAGATCACCAGCAGGGTAGTCATAGGTAACAAGTTTGCAATCAGTCTAAGGAAGACCTTTGTCACACTGAGCATAGGGTCTAAATGGATCAGCCTGTTTTCTGACAATGGGACTCTGCTTTCAGTTTCTGAGCATGTTCACGAGAGCAAAATGGGTCTGCTTGTGGGTGCCATGCACAAGGTGCAGGGAGGGGAATTACCATTTGAGCCTTTTGATTATGGGATGCCATCCCTTCCAATTCTAAGTTTCTAAGATTGGAATGGATTGTTCAGATTATAAGATGATCTATACTCTCAGTGAAAACCAATGTGTGTAGCAAAGACAATTTATTTTCATCTGTGGGGGAGAAAAAAAAAGGCTGTGAAATACTGAGTGCTTTAAAATAGTCTGTAGCTATAGGAGAACAATATGTGGGTTATCTATGATACTCTTCTGATGCCTTTTCTTGATTAGAAGGTAGAAAGCTAAACACAACTTTCCAGAGTCATGGCTTCAGAGGCAAGTAATATATGCAGATATCTAAAATGCTGGAGGCTTTTCTTCAGATGGCAATACTTATTGTTTAGTTACTTTGGAATACAGTGGTATTAAATTAACTGTAAAACAGTCATGCTGAACTAATCTAAAGAGGAAAATACATAAATAGCAAAAGGTACGATCAGACTTCCAGACAATCAGACTTCCAGGAAGATAAAATGTGGAATAAATGCAGCAGTGTTAACCATGTGATAGGCACATTGAGAGAGAGAAGCAGAATTCAAATTAGCTAGTTCCCTTGCTAATTTTTACATTAAAAACAACAACAACAACAACAAAACCCCCCAGACATTGACTTTTAGAAGGGTGAAGGTGAAGGTATATTCAAAATGTTAAATCTCTTGGAATAAAAGGAAGATTAATGTGGATATGCCAGACTTCTTGTGCCCTCTGACTACAGCAGAGCTATTCACTGGACTCACATTCACCCGGGAATCTATTGTCCCGCATTCAGAGGACACCATTTTCTCAAATTTCATACTAGGACCTTTCTGAATTCTTTAAAAATGTTATAGCAGTTGGTAACAATTGATATTTTTAATAAGAGACAACTAATAAAAATAAATTTGTTACAAATATATACTTATTCTCTTTCTGACAAACTTAAAAGACTGCTGTTATGACATCTACAGTATTCAGATTTTAAATTTCCTCCAAGACAAAATGAACACATGTAATCAGAGAGAAATATTTGTTAGGAATAATTTGAGATTAAAATGATTAAATTTAAGATGAGAGTTAGAGCTTTCTTCCCCTAACATTTACAAAGAAAAATTAGAACTCTTGAAAAACTACAAATGACACAAGATTATATAAATTTTGAGTAAATTGTATAGTAGTAAAAAGTACTGAAGAAATGATTCCAAGAGATATAAAAGTAAAAATCAGTAATTAATACTTTGCAATTAAGAGCCTATAATTTAAAAATGCTTTTATATCTTTTATTTATGCAATATGAAAGTATGGTTTTCATCTTGATGACATATTTTGGACCATTCTCAATTTTTATCTTAGAGGTTGAGAGCAAGCTAAGAGTTCTGCTCATTTCTTCTGTTTCAGGTCAGGAGGGCACAGCAACCTAATATTTGTAACTGTATAGAAGAGAAATATCTAGTGAGTAGCCAAGATGGGAGACAGGGTGCCCATTCTTATTATTATATTTAAGGAAAATTTCCAGGAGAATTTGATGCCCCCTTCTATGTACATGTACCATGATATTAAAAGGGATCCTCAGTTGACTCCATAGCTCAGTGACTATAAGACTGGTCTTGTAAATGGTCAGATCACATGGTGGTTTGTCAGGGCTGACCACATAAACAGGACAGCATAGGTGTGGTACATAACAAACCTGTGACCCCAAACTTTCTCTACATTGATGAAGGACAAAATTAAGGAGGTCAGATTATCATTACCCACAGAGAAGCTAGGGTTTCTGAGAGTTCCTGAGGCTTTCCCCATCGCTCCTGACACCCAGGTTGGTGCAAACAGCTTCAGGGGACCTTTCAGAGAAACTTGCTGTGTAACTCTGAAGTTTGAGGCTTTGGAGGACATGGTAGACCATGAGTCCTGGAAAGACTCGTGCTGCATCAGTAGTTGCTGTCGGTCACTGAATGCAGGGCAGTTCTGCTGGAAGAAGCCATACCTGTCAGGCTTATAGAGTGGTTCTCCAGTGCCAGAATAGGTTTTTAAGACACAAATGTGTGCTTGAAGTCATTTAAAGAGATTTCTTATAGAGCATTGAGGCCTTGGCAATGCATGTCCATGCAGTGCGAAGCCACTGTGGGACCATTACAAGTGACTGTTTAAAGGAGTGGTCTTGCCAGTTCTCAGGTAGATTGTGCAGATAACTGCTGAAATGTACCCACGTAGTCAGAGTCATTAAACATCTGTTTGCCCAATCAGAGAAACACAAGGCCAGATCACACTGCTGATGGTCAGACAGAAGAGCTGCTCTGTCTTGTCACTTCTCCCTCCTCTTTGACAGCTCTGGAGGGTCAGAGGGTATGCATGCACCTGAGTAGGCAGGAGTGAGAACCATGCTCACTGCCCACCTGTAGGGTCTGAGAGGTCCAAGAGGGATGTTTTTACTTAGCATGAGGTTCTAAATTTTGAGCAATACTTGGACTACAGTGGCTAAATTCTGAATGAAAGTGTATCATCAGAAAATGATGAGACATTGGGGATTTCTTGAGGGATGTGCCTGAATGAGGCTGCAGGGGTTCAAATGAACAGAGGCTTGAACAGAATAAAACTGATTTTTGCCTCCTATAAGCTGTCTTTGCTTGTTTTGAACATTTTGAAATATATCAGACAGCTAAGCTAATTACAAAAAGTTCCACCAAAAATGAGCATGTAGAGTAATTTCTCTCCTTTTTAACTTTCTTTGAAATCACATTTATAATATATGAGTATAATTAAATTATTAAGTAAATTAGAAATTAAAATTCTATTTACTATATGTTTTATGTGAGGCATAGTTATGATTTTTAATATGTACTTATTTTTGATGATCACTTGGGTTTTGATAGGAAACAAATTTTAATGAATCTCTTTCAAAGTTAAAATGAACAAAATGGTATCTGCTATCAAAGATAACACTCCAGATATTATCATTGCTTCACAAAGGAAAAGTGAAGTCAAGGACTTTTCATGGCATACGTGGAATCACATATAATACAATCTGTCTCACGGGCTCCTTCAGTCCTCCAAACTTGAACATGCCAGTGGTGCTGACTGAACTGGCCTAGGAATCAGGCTCCATGCCTGGGCCTAACTGCCACATGGGGGGGTTTGCACTGTGGGTTCAAAGGTACACTTTTCTTGTCAGTATCAATGTTCATGAATATTTGCAAGGTAGAGGATGCATAAATCATAAGATATGAATATCCCTTCTTCCTTATACTGATTTGGATGAAAATTTGCTATAAAATAGCAGTCAAAGTGACTACCAAATAAAGCATGAGCAGTGTAGTGTCTGTATACACTGATAACAGTTAAAGAGCAAACTAAGCCACATCTCTGAAAACTAAATCTCTGAAAACTCTTTGCCTGGAAGTAGCATCACAGAATGGATGGAGTGGATCCACTCTAATGGATCCACTCTAATGCAGATCCCAATGACATTTAACTTGGGACTGAACCAAATTATTTTGTATTCCATAACCCAAAAAGTTTAGATATGTTAGTGTATACTGTTACCTTTCTGACAGGTGATAATTTTTCTCTGCAGCTGTAGACACAAATCATTGAGCTGGTTGGCATGCCAGTATTTTAGAAACACTTTTCGAACTCCCATCTAAAACATAAATAGCAGGGAAACATTTAACAGCATGAAGATGCCAAAAGGATGATGAGTAAACCATCAGGCAAAGCTTTTTCTGGAAGACAATTAGAGGCAGCAAAGCTAATAAAATAAATTCCAGTATATCCACCTTATTATTTTTAACACTATTACATTAATCGAGATCCCAAAGGATTTGTTCTAAGTATCTTTGTTGTGTGTACACACTATCACCAATATTTGCAAATGCTTACACACTACAGTTGTGGTTGCACCATGTAGTGCAAAATACTGATCGGCTTTGATTCTTTATCAGAAGATAAAATCATACCCATGAATGAATTCTTACACTCCAGAGCTAGACTCCTAGCATTCCTTTGTGATCCTTTTCTTTTCTCATCTCACAGCAGGGAGGTTTAGTTTACAAAAAGGAAAACAAACATACAGCAGACACATGAAATTGTTACGAATCACTTAATTTTCTAGTATACAGTGTATTTATGAATTGAATGTATACAACTGTAATTACAGAACTGCAACATCAAAGTAAAAGTCATGTATGAGCAATAATCTTCTAGATGTTTGCATAAATAGTAGTATACAATAAACATTTTTCTCTAGAATTTTTAAATTTCATGTCTTTAAATCAGTTTTTACAAAAAGTGTTTTAGTGGTACATAAGATAGTCCAGACGTGCTGCTACTTGTGAAGACAGCTACCAAAGAACATTCTTTAAAACGTATAACAATAAGTCATGTCCTTGCATTTTAAAAATAATTTTCTTGTGTGTTGTGCTTGTTTTCTAAATTCACAGAGCTGTGGTAAGTGTGAGGAATTCCCTTCATGATGTAAGTGTTCAGTCTCTTAGGGGAAGCAGACATAAATAATTGTAGAAAAGCCTGGTAAATACTAACACGAAGTGCCGTGGAAGCTCTCAGATGATATTCTGTTAGATAAAGAAGAAATACTGCTTAGGCAAACCTTGTAATATGTTCATAATCACATTCTCAGCACTTGAGACAAACACCATTAAAATAAGAGGAAGACTAACGTGTGCTCCCAAGCATGAACTGGGGACAGTAAAATGATAACACTGCACGGTCTATGCCATACATCACAATGACACCCAAGCTTGCATGTATATACACACCATTAGGTATTGGAAAGGTTTATAGGTCAGACTTGTTTTCAGAATGTGTGGCCAGAGGCAGTTTATGAACCTTTTCATATGGAAACTAAGTTTACTACAGACATACTTTGTCACTTCCCATCTTTCCTTCTAACTCTCCCTTTAGTCATGTTATCTTAATGACACAAACACACAGTTTTGCAAGGACTGGGACCTGAATCCTGCACTATGGCAGCCAGGCTAGTTAGATCCACAGGAAAAGCTCTCAATTACTGTCCAGTCTGAGGCCTCTGGTTGACTAGATGTTCTTCTTCATTTAGTTTTCTTTAGTTGGTTGAAATTTCAGACATTTGCCTGGGTGGGTGGCTATGGAGAGTTGTTACTTCTTTCCCCATTGTATTGCTATTCTCTCTCCCTAGTTATTTTCCATAATTCACAGTCTTTTTTCCCTCTTCCCGACTGTTGACTTATTTTGGCAGTCAACAGGAAGAACAGTTGGTACTGTCTGTGAGTACTGAGGAACAAATCTGTGAGACAGGCATTGGAAAGGAGGGAGCATGTCATCTTTCTGCTCATCTCTGACTGTGGTATGTTGCTCGTTGTGGGAAACTAAATCCCAAAAGCAAAATTCATGCTAACCTGGTTTCCAAAATGAAACTCTAAAGGTGTGATAGCCAGCAATACTGTACAATGTGGACTCAATAATGATCATTCGGGGAACTAATGTATGGAAGAACACAAGGGGAAAGACCTGGGGAATACAAACAGGAGAGCTGGATTCTAGTTCCACCTCTGGTCAGGAAGAGAGTTAGACAGATGACTAAGATCTCTTATGATGACATTCCTAAGAGCCATTCAAAAAAATAAACAAATTAGTTTATTTTGAGAATTCTGCCAGCAGAGATATATTTTAGAGATATAAAGGAGGGCCTTCTCCTCATGGAGCTCAGAGTTCACTGGGGAAAATCAGCAATGAGCAAATCCAGCCACAATACATGCTCAGTATGATGATAAGAATTATGTTCAAAGACCATCAGAGAGGACGAGGTGATCATGATGAAATCAGGTAGGATTCACTGAGAAGCATGTTAATTGAAGCCATTTAGTCCTGAAGGATATACAGGGATTTCCCAGGGTCTCTAGAAATGGTGAGAAAAGATGAATGTGTGGCAGCAAAACCAGCATGTGAATGGCAAAGAGCAGAAAATGATAAACAATCTTGGGGTACAGCTGTGTGAAAAATGATAATAGAAGAGGCTGAACATGTAGCTGGTGGTCAAATTGTGAAAATTATTCCAGAAAAAAATGGGCATTTTCCTATAAGCAATGTGGTTAAAGTGAAAGAATGAAAGGAGATAAGATCTAAATTTTATAAAAATAATTTTTGAAATTGTATTTGAAATCTATATAGTTCCTTATTAAAACTAACTGTCTGAAGAATGGATGTTGGACTTGGCTTTGGGAAGTAACTGGCGAGGTGGGACAATATAATGCAATCAACAATTTGGATTTGAAAGATTATACAACCATTGCTTATCTGTTGGCAAACCCTTACGTATCTTTTATAACTGAAACCAAACACCATCTTCATTATTAGATTTCTGATACTGGTTTCTTAACTTCCAGTAGGGCTTTAATGACTTTCATAGTGTTCCTACAGCACCCTATCAATGATCATTTCTCTTACTATATTACATTGTATATTTGCCATTACATATGTATATGTGTATACATGAGTGTATCTACATATATATTCACATCTACTGAAGAATATGAAGGTATATTCTTGATCTTATAAGTGGTAGGCATGTGGGGAAGGTGGATCTGTATTAGAAAGTCAAGATGAGGAACTGTGAAGTCTTGGTATAAGATGAATCATAGACATGGATGATAATGTCTTCAAGGATGAAAATAAGGTATGAGGGACAATGAAAATAGAAGCCAGACCCTGAAGTCATCCAGCAAGCTGGGAATAAGTCAAGAACATCAGCCAGTAATAAAATAAATAATGGTGAAAATAAAAGGAAAAATAAGAATGGAGTGAAAATGGTCTACAAATAGTATAGATATAAGACAAGGTTGGGAAGAAATGATTCAACTGAACCCTCTCCTCTACTGAGACATCAGAAGTGAAAAAAAGTGAAACCATGCAGTAGTATATTGTCAGGAAATATCCAGTTTTCAGTTCATATATGGAGACTAAATTATAAAGGGAGTAAATATGAAAGATGAAGTGGATTTTTCTCAGGGTATATTAGAGATTCCATAGGACCTGATTGTGGGTAGTTGAGAAGCAGTATGTTTCACAGGGCAGATCTGCATGTTAGGTCTTACTTGGAGGCAGAAAAAAGAAGTTCTTCCTGAAAGCCATGGAATAGAGTAATGGCAAGTGAGGAGTAGGGTGAGTATATAAGGCACAGGGCATGTGTGTGGAAAGGTGGGATGTTAGGCAGACACATGTAATGTTGGAAACCAGAAGGATAGGTCAGTTCCCAAAATTCCTGGTGAGTTTTTGGTGTAGTTATGCCCACACAAATTCTCCCTAAAAAGGTAAAACCAAGGACTTTGAAAGTGAGGAGGGTTTCTAGCATCTGATTCAGTGGGAGGGGGAGAGAATTAAAGTTTCAACCCACATTGCAAATACTCTGTTAAGACACAGCTAAAGACTTTGTGGAAATGGCCAGGTATTGTGCTGTTGTCACATTTAGACTATTTTGAAAGTTCTTCATTCAGCTATTTGGTATACTTTACAGTTATTCAGTGGACTGATTCATTATTTCATATTCATTCATTCATTCCCTTTTTTTCTTCTTTACCATGCAATTTATTTGTGTATTGGAAAGACTTGGAAATGCCCATTGAAAATGTTAACATTTGTTTGACTTTGCTGGTCTTTTGGGGTTGTCATGTTTGTAGTAAATGTTTCATCTCTCTGGAAAGGATAAAATTAGGCCTTTAGTAGTATTTTAGATTTCTTCCTCAGAAAGTATTAAATGTATTTTAATGCTGAAGTCCTCTGGTATCACTGATGTTCAGGATTAGTGGGACACAAATCTCGGAATCTTTCATTATCAGTAAAATCCAGACAGGATCCCATTAATTCTAAATGTGCAGGAATTTTACATTGTCCGTTAATGAGGTGGACTAGGAGGAAAACATTGGCCATTTAAATTTTTCTATGGAATGAGTTCATGTAAAGTTACTCTGAGATCAGTGCTTTAGTCTTCTGTATCAAATCCAATGAATTAGGATTCATCCAAATGAGACCAAATGTTTGAATCACCTACATTCTTGATGTTGGTTGCATTCTCTTATAAAAGACATTTCTCTTTCACAAACATAGAAAAGGAGAAATTAAAATGTTCAACTCCTACTGAGCCCTCTCCCTGTGCTCTCCCTAGAAGCAGAGTGTTCTGATCTGAGATTAAAATGTTAATGTCATTCTGACTCCTGTAAAAGTAAACCATCTGTGAATTATAGTCATCGCTATTTTTATTAGAATACCATTAGTTTTTTTTGAAGTGACAGATTTTAAAAGATTAAACAAAGTTGTCATTGATGACTTCAAACACTTCAATTATTGCTACAGTTTTCAGGGATTTTTTTTAGAGGTTCAGGCTGTGGGAGCACAGACAACTGCTGGGATGTCGGTGGAGATGCAGTGTAGGTGGTCTGGAGGCTGTACTAGAGAGAGATATTAAGAGAACCTGTAAAGATCCTCTCCACCCTCCTCCTCCTCATCATCACTGATTGCTGCTTCCAATCACAGAGGTACAAAGAGCAGGGTTTGCCCTCCTATGGACTGCAAGAGGGACATACACTTCCTGTTTCCATGGCAACCCCAGACCTCCCACAGGAGATGCACATTACTGGCCTCCCTTTTTAG